ATAGCCAAGTACAATGGACTCAAGAAATAAAAGACTCAATTGCCCTTTGGGCTTACATACGACAATTCCCATAAGAGGGGTACAAAGGGAAATAACAAAAAGACACCTAAGCAAATAAGAAAGTACATGAATAATAAAATACATCAATGAATCAGAAATATAAAGACTCGATCGTGGCCGTAGATCGGCGGCCATGTCTCTGATAAACCTTCCATGATCTGATGTCCCCATCAGAGCACCCCATAGCATCCATGGTAGAGAGAGAGGGGGCGGGAGTTGGAATCGGCAAGAGGAGATGGGGGAGGCGGCTAGGGTGTGAGGAGGAGATTAGGTTAGAAGGAGTGTTGATGAGATTTAATAAAAAATCTGAAATTAATTTCAGATTTGAGTCAATTTGGAGGGATGCAAATTGGGATTTGAATTTCAAATCAATTGTAATCAATGCCATAAAGTAGCATTAATTGGGATTTATCCCTAGCATGGCCGGCGACATAGAGAGGGAAGGAGAGGGAATTAATTCACAAACCTGAAATTAATTTCAGGATTAAGTAAATTGGGGGGTGGGGGGAATTATTTGAAATCAATTTTAATTTCAAATAAGGTGGAGCATTAATTGAGCAATCAATGTGGAGAATCCCACATGGGGGCCGGCGGCATGGTGAGAGAGGGAGAGGGGATTTGGGGGAGTTTTAAAATAACTTCCTAATTGGGGACTCCAATTTAGGGATAGAATAATTTCATCCAATCTAATTTGAAACTTAAATTGAATGAAATTCAAGACTTTCCTAATATAGATTTCTAATTTAGGAAACTATTTGAATTTCAAATTTTGAATTTCAAATTTTGAATTTAAAATGTTTTAAAATAGTTTCCCAAATCCTTCAAGCTCTCTAGCAAAGTGATTATGAAGCATTAACTCCTCATTCAATGGATTGAAAGGAGGTGGCCGGCGGTGGGCTTGAACTTGGATGGAGACGGTGGTGGAACCAATGGAGAAGGGATCAGCTTGATGGAGTGGTGGATGGTGGTCTTGGGAAGGTGGGGTTTCGGGTTGATCTGGGTGTGGAGAAGGTGGCCGGCGGAGGGAGCTAGGGGAGGTGGCGGGTGGTAGGAAGAAAAAGGACAAGAAGAAGAAGATAAGTTGAAAACCACGAATCGAGGACTCTTCCAACGACTGGTGGGCCTTGCACGTGCTCACCTTGAGCTCTCTCCCTTCTCTCTAGTGCTCTCACAAGAAGAAGATGAAGAAATACAAATTTTTCTTAATAATCAATCATCGTCTCATTACAATAGAAATGACCTATATATAGGTCTCAATATAAAAAAAGGAACATTGACAAAACTGCCTTCAACATGACTCAACTCATAATAGCGGTACAATAGGAAGACTCAAAGAAAATAAAATGCATAAATATTTAAAAATATAAACTCTGAATCGTGGTCGTCGATCTGCGATGCTTCCGACGATACACATGTTTGAACCTCTAATCGATGTCCTCATCACTAATAGTACTAAGTTTTAGCGGAGGAGTATTGACATTATTCTCATGAATCTTCTAAGACCACAATTGAGAAGTAACCACAAAGATAAAGGGGTCGGGGGAAGAGTTTACCCAAAGAAATAGAAGATACGAAGCTTTGGTGGTTGTTTGGGGGCTTGAGATGAAGTAGATGGCAACCAAGACCCTTCTTGATGTGGTGGGCAGCAATTGGAAACTTTAGGACAGCACATAAAGATCTCCCGACTGGCTGGACAGCAGAAAGAGATGTAGAATTTCTCTGGACAACAGTAGTTTGGTCTTGGACAGCAGTTGGGGGGCCTTCTTGGACCACTTCCTTACTGATTTTGACGTTCCTGGACTGGTGACGGCAGTCGGTGGTTCTCTAATCAACTGGACAGCATCTAGGAGGTCTCCCGTGACAACTTTGTTATTTATTTGAGCACTCTTGGACAGAGGACAACAACCTATAATTTTCCAAACAGTAGATAGAAGGTGGAAATGCAAGAAAAACTCTGTAACAGCCTTTAGAATTCTCTGGACAGCAAAATAACTCCAGCAGGGGCTCTACTTTCAGCGGTCACGGGAAGGGTTTGGAAGAGTAACCAGTGGAGGAAGGAGGGGGATGGAATGACCGGCTAGAGTAAGGAGGGGCGGCACAACTTTGGGCTAGATTTTGGATTCAATAGGTAGGAGATCAAAGATTGAATTGAGAATTAGGAAGGGATTTGAAATTCAAATCCCAAGTAATTAAGGAGAATAAAGAGGTGGCTGATTTGGGGGGGGAAGATTGGGTTTGATTTGGAAGGAAATAATTAAGCAACATAGGGGAAGAGGGGCCGGCCATATGGGGGGAAAGGATTAGGTACTAAGTTCAATGCATGTGGACCCCAGGGATTTTTTTTATGTGGGCCCCAGGGATTTAATTACTGATTTAAATCAAATATGAATCTTGATTTCAGATTTCATTTAGTTGGGGGAGCTTTCCTAATTGGGGCTTATTAATAGGTAAGGTATTTGAAATTCAAATATTTATTTGAATTCAAAATAAACCTTTCCATATTAATGGCAAAGTAAATTAGGAAAGTAATTATGGTGAAATTTGAATTTTTTTGAATTGCAAAATTCATGATATAGAATTGATTTCAAATAAAAACACTTTCTAAATATAGCTATATCGATTTAGGAAGTTATTTGAAATTCAAATTTGAATTTCAAATTGATGAGTTATCTTCCTAAATCACTTGGGTGAGTTTTGGTAAGTGGTAATGATGATGGAAATCATCATGAATGGTGGAAGGGCCAAGGTGGCCAGTGGCAAGGAGGTGGAGGGGCGGCGGGTAATGGGGAATCATAGGGAGGGGTTGAGGATGTCGGTTTGGGGAGAAAGAGAGGGGATTGCCGGCGGTATAGGGGAAGAGGGACGAGGAAGATGAAGACTAAAATAAAGAACCAAGAACTCACAAAGAGATCATAGAACCGCGAACCTTGGACTCTTCCAAAGGTTGACGGGTGTTGCGATTGCTCACACCTTGGGTCTTCCTTCTCTCAAACACTCAACATTGAGGGAGACAAAGAGAAATCTGAATTTTCATTAATCAATCATCATCCTAAAGTACAAGAGAGCTAGCCTATAAATAGGTCTCATGAAAAAAAAAGAAACAAAGACTAAAACACCCTTCGGGCTACAATACCACATGACCACCCCTAGGGGTAAAATGGGAAAAATAGAAATATAAAATAAACTAGTACATAAGACACATCAAAAATAAAATAAACTCTAGATCGTAGCTGTTGATCTTCTGATGCCCTCATCATTCTACCCAGGTGAGAGAAAACTCAACTCCGTCGAGTGGGTATCTCGAGAACTTCTCGTGCATATGGGCCGATCTGATGTAGCTCCTTGCGCTCTGACCACGTATCCTCTGACTCTGGTTTACCTCTTCACCTTTTTCAGATATCTTCTTCGTCCACCCTCATTTGTGAAAATAATGTCATCACTCGAAATCATGTCAACCTTCTCCGCTATTGATAATTTGGGAATATTTGGGAGTGGAGGTAGGCTGGGAGTTCTCACAGGGTGGGGTCACACAAGGCTCAGTTTGAAGTGGATTTGGTGGGTTAAGCTCTGGACCCTCATAGGTTACTAAATATTCTATGTTTATAGAGGAATGAATGTTGAACTCTGCTAGCAAATCCACCACGTAAGCGTTGTCATTGATTTTATTGACTATTTGATGTAGAATGGGTATGGGGTTTTGAATCAATTGGGTCTTGAAGAGCAAATCGTGAAGTCTAAACAACAGCTCTTGGTTCTTAGAAGTCTTGGACAGCAACTCGTAATGTTGGGATCTCCGAGGATAAAGGTGAAATGAAGCTCCGATCTTAACTGGACAGTAGTTGGGAGGCCTTCTTGGACAGCTTCCTTGCTGGTTTTGGCTTTCCTGGACTGGTGCCAGCAGCCAATGGTTCTCCACGCAACTGGACAACAGCTAGGAGGTCTCCCAGGACAGCTTCATTGCTGATTTGAGCACTCCTGGGCCGAGGACAGCAACCTGGATTTGTCCAATCAGCCGGACAGTAGGTGGAAATGCAAGAAATGTATGTACCATCCCTTGAGAATCCTTTGGACAAATCCAGTGAAATGTGGATTCACACACAAATTTTAAATAGAGGAAAATTTTGGAAGACAACAGACAACCAAAACACACAGAACATAGTAACTCACAAGCACACATAGATGGAATAAAGGTGGAAGAGTCACGAAATGAGGGGATCTAAAGTGTTCAGGTCTAAGGGAACTGGTGTAGGGGGAGAAATGAAGACATCCTGAGCTACCAGGACATTTCTATAGGAAGTTTTAGTTAGGGTCGTAGGTAGTCTCCTAGGGGCAACAGGGTAATCTAGCAAATTCATCAAACTAGGAGAGAGATCATCCTTAACAGGGAATGACAAGAACATAGCGGGCAAAATGCCATGATGCTTTGTGTACTCAACTTTGGTTCAGGATCTTCAAGACTTGTATTTGAATTTCCCTTTAATGCCATGACATTTGAATTGAATTCTATCCATAAATTTTTCACACCTCACAATGCATATTTCTTCAAGAATATTTTAGAACATTCCATTTCATCTTAAATTAATTATGAATTCGTATTTTCTGTAATAATGACATAGTTCTCCTTATTTTCTTCATTCAACCTGTCCTTATTTTAGTCCTCACATGCTGCTTTTTTTTCAAATGCAAGAATCAACTTGATCTGTTTTACTCGCTGGTTCTTCATTTTTTTACATAAAAATATTGGTTGCCATTTGATGCTCTAAATTTTCGAATTAGTGTGAGTTCAACATTGGTGTGTTGACTCTTTTAATTTTGTTTGTTTTTATCATTGGTATATTTTTTGATGGTGCTCTTCTTTCTTGCTCTCTTTTGCTTTTTTGTTTCCCAATTGCAAGAATCAACTTGATCTGTTTTGCACGCTGGTTCTTCATTTTTTTTAGGTATGAAAAAATGATCATGGAAGCAATTCTTAAGGGTATCAGTGTTGAGTGCGAGTTTAGTGAAACTTCATCTGCATTGGCTGCTTTGATATTACGCTAATCGATCCATTTAATAGAAACATTCTGCTAATTGCAAAGAAGGTGAAGTTTTCATTTAGCAACGTACTTTTTAAAGAAAGATTGATATTTTTTATGACCGACTGCAGATTTAATTACTTTTCAGGTTATGATGGGTGAGAGTTCATCACTTCATCCATTACCATTTGTCAATGTTTGCATTAATATACAAAAGTCTGACCAGAGTAGTGAAACTCTTATAAAGGTACTTATTGATGTTAGTTGAAAAGCACAAATTTATGGGGCATGTTTCTCTCTTGCAGTCTGATGGTACTAAAATTTGTGTATAAAAACATTATGGTTCATAGGTTGTACTCCAGCCATTTGAAGCTACTTACGAATCAGAATTTTATCTGAAGGTGTTAGAGCTTTGTGATGTTTTGGTTTCTTTTCAATTCTTGCACAAAAGGGTTAGTGTTTCCTTGAATTTGTTATTGTTTTTAATTCCATTTTATTTTCCTCAAGTTGTTGAATGTTTTTTTCCTTGTGTATGTATAAGTCGGTTTTGCAAATATGGTTGAAGTACATTTTATGCTAGAAATTTTTGTAAATGGAATGACGGATAGCTTTGCCTTGCCAGAATTATATATTAGCAACAGTTCTACTTATTATGGGGCGATCTATTTCCATGAGCTTACTGCTTCTCAGAAGATCAGTTATATGTTTAGTTATGTGATGGTTGCAATATCTTATATGGTCGTTATCTTGTCAAATCATTAATCGAATAACATTGAGAAATAAAGCTGAACAGTGTTTCAATGGATATGTGGTCTGTTTGACATTGCAGTATGAATGTGCGGATACTGGCAAAATGAATGACCCATTGCCTTTTTCTTTTGAGAAAAATAGAAGGAAATACAATTTAAATTGAGGAATATCTCTCACTAGGATGCAGCACAAAAGCCATGATTAAAAAAAATATTAAAAATGCCTGATATCAAGAGAACAGTAGCTGCGAAGAAATGTTGAGTTAAACTATCATGAGGAAAACTTTTAAAATGGTAGAAGATGAAAATTTTCACCTTTAGGTGATTTTTGTCTTTTGTTTTTAGATTTTGTATTTTTTATGGTTTAACTGAAACATGAGCATATGTTTGTTGGTGTGAAATGCAAGCTTCTTAGGTTTTTAGCAATTTAGCCGTAGCTATCTTGTTTCTTGGAAGTGTGTATGAGTCTTTCTTTGATGCTTTACTTGGTGACTTGTGGAAACGTTTGTAATTGTGTTGTGATGATGGTATTGCCAATCATGTCATTGCTTGCAGGGATCAATGTCAAATGGAATTTCCATTTTTCCTTACATGAATATCCTTGAAGTTGGATTTCTGTAAAGAAAAAGTATTATATATGCTACTTATATAGCTGTATATGGTAGATTCTATAAGCAACATTAGATTATTGTCACGTAGAATCCAAAAATTCATGCTGCCATAAGGAAGATTAGATTTTAGATAAAGCACTACATACATATTTCACCCTCATTTTGCGATTCCATTATGATTTGGTTCAAGGCTTTCAATAGGTGCAAACATCTATGGTTAATTACCCCTCACAATCATGATAGAACTTTTGATTAAGGCTGGTTCGTATTCACTAAATGCTTTGCCTATAGTAATTAGTGGTTTTGGTTTAGGATTGAGGAAATTTATCGTGGATGATCGAGGGATCCTTGCAACAATCATGGGTTGTATCCTGTAAGGGGACCTTGTTGATGTCAAGATGTTTCCCTAAGCAGAAAATTTTAAATCGACCTTAACTAATAGAGGGTTTTATAAAATGTCAAGTGTACTTTATGATTCGCCAGTTAGAGAATTAAACCATTAGGGTACTTTTTATTTTAACATGATTATAATTTAATGGTGTCATTTTTTTTGGTGAAATCACCTAATTAGAGGGCCTTGGTTGTAATAATAATTTAATGATGTTATTTTGTGAAACACCATTCAGCTGATGGACATAGTCTTGTTGGCATTACATTTTGAGAGTAAATATAGAGAAACACTTGATATTACATTAGCTCTTTGTGAGCTTAGGTTATCTTAATTTTGTGACCCTCATTAACTATTGCAGAAGATGGATGGATTGAAGCTTAGAAGTTGTTAGTTATTGCTTGAATATTTTAAGTTTTGCAAAATTTTTGTATTTTTATCGAGATTTGAGTTCATTTTTTTTTACTTTGAGGATATTTTGATTATAGAGATCCTCTCCGGTTGAGATTTTTTAACAACACAACTATCGTTGGGGTGGGTTTTCTGCTATATTTTATTTGCAAGGAGCAACTTGAGAGCTTTTTTTTTAAATAAACCCCCTCAATTATAATGCACCATAAATGCACCGATCATAGGGTAGTTGGCATATATTGATTGCTTGGAACATTGTTAAATTTGCCCACTTGTAAGTAGAGGTTGGGTTTCATGTCTTTGCATTTCTTTTCAGTTCATTTGGATATCCATTTCATTACAGGCCTTGTTTACCTACTCTCATACGCAGAGTTTTGGATCTCTCTCATAGTTGAACTTATACCAATCTATACAATCTAAGACAATAGAGCATATTTGAAAAAAATACAAAAATATATAGATTTATCAATCGTTAGAAAATTAATTGGTGATATTCATCAGTCTTCAATCTAAGAGCAAATGACTTATCATAAGCTTTCTATAGGACATTAGTCCAACTTAGATAAGAAAATCCTTGCCAAGAACAAAACAGAATGACACATCAAAATGATTAACGAATTATAGGTATGTCATACTACTTATAACATGCCAACTAAAGCTACTCATTATGTCTTAGTGTTCGGATTTGAATCAGCCTTGACTCTTGAAATCAAGTTGTCTTCACTTCAAGTAGATGTCCTATATGAACTCAGAGCAGAATATTTATCTACAAATTGAAGAGCTGGATGTACTTAACAAAGTTTTACTTAAAGCTCAATGGAATCTAAAAATTTATCAGGTAAGAATGTCTGCATTCTTTGATCGCATGGTACGTTCTTGGATGTTCCAAGAAGAAGAATATGTCCTAGTGCTGCATTACCAACCATTCCTCATCCATGACTTGGTGGCAAATTTGAATCAAATTGGGAACACCCTACTGTCATTAAGAAAGCATAACAAGGAGCTTATCAACACTGGAGAAATATGAGCTACCATCCAATTTGATGGTTTGAAAATCTTGATTGCTATTACCATTGTCATTGTTATACCTATTCAATGTCATGTTAGGTGCCTGTGGAAGCTGTTGCTATTGAAATTCCAGAAACGAGAATCCCTGTATTTGACAAGCTGACTCGTGTGGAATCGATTGCCATAAAGAGGACTATTTTTAGTTACAAAGCCTCGCTAGTACCTATAAATACTTTCTCCATGCTAAGCAACTTGTTTGTAGCAGGAACACATGACGTTGAAGATTTCTTATCTGAATGAAGGCTCTCTTGAAGATAGAAGAAGGAACAATGCTGAACTTGGGCTTGAGAAGTGTTAACTGAGCAGCCAATTGTACAACAAATCCTTGAATTGGTGACAATCATATTTCTAAGAATAAGTTTGAGACTTAAGAATGGTTAAAGAGGAATAGTTCCACTGGTGAACCGAGCCAATTATTTTTGGCCCAACACCAACTTCGGACCCCTCCCTTTCAAAACAAACATGAAACTTGTCAGCAACGACAACAACAACATCAAACTTTTATCCCACTACATGGGATCGGCGACATGAATCTTTTTCTTCATTGTGTTATGTTAAGAGTCAAATTCTTATTTAAATCTAATAAAAAAGGTAATTTCGAATATTTTCTTATCTCTTTTTATGTCTACCTCTACCTTTCTTAACATAAGTCAAATCTAATACATCTACTCTCCTAACTAGGTTATTAAAAGGCCGACATTTTATGCGACCAAATCATCTAAGGCTACTCTCCCTAATCATATCTGCCACTCCAACCTTTTCACATATACACTTGTTTTGCATTCTGTCTATAAGAGTGAATCCACTCATCCACTTGAGCATCTTCATCTCAGCTTCAATGAAACCTTATTAGCAAGAGTGCATGAAATCATGAAATAGTGGAGGCATTGCACGAATATTTGTATGAAAGAAGAAACGCGAGAGGAGGAAACAATTGAGATTGAAGTTGTCTATATGATAGACCTTATTAATGAATAATATGGTACATGTGCCTATCAGCATATACAAGGTGGGTTTGCTCTTATTGCTCTACTTGAAGGGCGTCAACTACAAGAGCAAGGAGAGGATGAAAAACTATATTCCCTTTTAAAAATTGAAGAAGAAGAAGATGATGAGTTTGCATATGTAAGTAAATGATAGAAATCTCTTAATAGAGGTGTTAGAAATTTGTGGGCTTTGAAAATTTACACCTAGACCTACTATGAGAGTTTTTTCGGGTCAAATTATTCATAATATTGATTGGATTCCATATAAAGAACTACCAAGATTCCACCCTTGTTTTATGAGGACTTTATGTTTTGATTTGAGGTTTCTGATATGTCTTGGAAGTAAAAACAACAAGCAAACAAGAGAAAAAATTGTAGGAATACCCAAAACAATGGTTGATTTTGTATTATTTCTTCAACATTAAAGCAAGATTAATCTGCAATTCGAGAGGTAGATTGTCTAACCCAGAAATTCTAAACGCCTTTAGGAACTCTCTACGAAAGAAACTTCATCAAAATAAATCAAAACATAACTTGAAAATGCAATATGATTAGCTGTAAATAAGCTTCCCAAATTCCCTTCTATACCAGTCTTTTTTCCTTAATTGATTCCCTCTTCAATTTGAATTTTATTTGGATCTCTTTCCCAATTAAATTCCCCCCAATTATAATTAAAACATTCCTAGATATCTCCCCCTCTATTTCTCTTTCTTACATATTGAATTAGATCTTTCTCAAGCCCAATAAGAGGGTTCGTACCCTTCTCTTTGCTCTGTTGTCTCCCGCCAAGCATAGTTGCTTGGTTTTGTTCTCCTAAACTGGGTGGAGAACTCTCATATGTGCCCCCCCCCCCCCCCCCCCATTCAATAATAATGTACAACAACAACAAGAACAACATCAAGCCTTTATCCCACTATGTGGGGTCGGCTACATGAATCCTTTTTCTCCATTGTGTCCTATTAAAAGTCAAATTCTCGTTTAAATCTAATAAAGAAAGGTCATTCCTAATATTTTCTAACCAAGTCTTTTTAGGTCTACCCCTACCTTTCTTAACATAAGTCAAATCTAATACCTCTACTCTCCTAACCGGGTCATCACAAGGCCGCCGTTTTATGTGACCAAACCATCTAAGGCGACTTTCTCTAATCTTATCTTCTACTGGAGCTACTCGAGAGGTTATGGTAGTCCTTCCACTTGATTAGCACCTTGTCCTCAAGGTAGAGGGTTGGAAACTATCTCCCGATCATCTCGTATCGGCTATGGTAGTTCCTTCCACTTGATTAGCACCTCATGTTCCACTGCCTCTCCTTCGCGCACAACTGCTACTTCTAGGGGTTCCAAAATGACCTCCATGTCCTCTGTTAAAGTCGGGGGTAGTGACGATGGTGTGTGCTCTCCTATTGCCTTCGTCAGTTGTGAGACATGGAAGACTAGGTATAGAGTTGATGAGGGTGGTTGCCTCAATCGATTGGCTACTGTTCCAAATGCACTCCAAGACCTCATAAGGCCCAAAGTATTTTGGGGACAATTTCTTATTCCTGCTTTTAGCTAGTGTCTTCTATCTGTAGCGATTTAATTTTGTGTAATCCACATCTTCTTGCTCGAAGTTTACTTCTCTAATGTGCTCATTATCCTTCCTTTTCATCAGAATCGTCGTAGGAGTTTTGGATTGCATCTCAATGGGCTTCTTCATCATCTCCTACAATCCCCCAAATTGGTTTTCCATCTGATTCTCTTGGATTGAGAAAATTTACTCTCATTAACTTTAAACGGATAGTGGGGGAATGATGATTAATCTAATTAAGATTCCATAATTCTGTCATCCTGAGTTGTCATGAATTTGGGTCTACTTAGTCAATAGAGTCAATAGAGTTAGTCTGTCTAAACTCTAAATTGACTGAAGGATCTTTACCATGTCAATATAGGAAGTTATCCATGGTGATTTTTTATTAGACATGGTAAGCTTTTAATGCTATATGGTTTGGAGTTTAGTAAAATATGAAAATGATCGAGGGTTGATGGTTAGTACTGTGTTGTATCTATTGCGAAGGTTTCTCTATAGGGCTCTTTTGTACCAAAGTATTTGTAGGCACATGAAAATAATTAGCAGAATCACATCTTTTGGTTAAGCTTTAATATGATTGCAATATTAACGAGAAAAAAACAAGACTAATGATAATATATTCGTGTCATTATTTTGTTGATTGATAGCTTCTATGCATAATATTAGATGTATGATAATGTGAACTTTTTCTTTAATAATCTCACCTTATGAGGTTATTTCAGTTTGTTATATAATATAAAAGAATAATACAGATGCCGTCAGCCTGCTGCTGTGAACTTGCATCTAAATGTTATAAATTCTAGTTCTCAGCCTTACAGTTGGCAATAAAGTACCGTTCAGGTCTCTTAGTGTCTATCTTCTGACTTTGTTTGCAAACAGCTGTATTCAATTTCCTTTGATTTTTTAAAGGCTTGATGTTGTTGTTGTTGTTGTTGTATCTTTTGTGATCCATCCCTTTCGACAAGACTTCTGGTCAGACCTTAGGTGCAAATTTAAACTTTTGTCATACTTTCTCTCATTTTTCTCTAATTATTTTTTCCTATATGACCGCATTTGTGTTGATATGAAAATTTTACAATATTTTTCTTGTTTTAATCCTATAAAACCTATTTTTAAATTGCAGGTATTACTTTCTCTTAATGGATTCAAAGATTTCAAGGATAGACTATTATTTAAAGCTGAGTAAGTTTGACCTTGAACTCTCTTTGCTTGTGTTGCCCTCCAATTTCTATTTTTTTGATTGTCCGTGCTTCTATTTTCATCTTGTAGGTATGTATCACATAATTCTAGGAAAATTAAATGGGATGTCGTTCTCCATAGTTTCGTCATAAAATTTCCTTTCGTGAATGAAGATGCGGAGCCTTCCATTATGGTATAAATGAGTTTTTCTTTTTATCTATTTATTTAACATGGTGTATTTTTAGGAATAGTTTTTCTAGGCGTAATTGTCCTTAAATAAGATTACCCTTTATTTTTACTCATGACTGTCATGTCTGCAAAAAATTGTTCTTCTGCTGCTTTTTTACAGAACACCAAATGCTGATAAAATGGTCCGGGACAGTTATCATTTGATCTGGACGAAATGTGATTCAGAATAGTGCATGCTATGATATAAAATTGATGGTGAAGGATTACAATAAGAAAGGCTGTGAAAATGTTAGGCGGGCCACTCCGGTCCTTACTTACTCTAGGTGGGCCCCACATGGAGTTAATTCAAGGGTTGGAGGGAAAATTTGAATGGAAAGGGGGGAAATTTGAATAGAAGGGCTGTTTAGGGATTTTGTATGGGGATGAGAGTTAAAGAGGGGGAAAGGGGGGAATTAGGTCCTCATCTTGAATTTGAATGAAAAGTTTGAGATCTCATTGTGTGCTTGGGCTCTAGGGTTTGCTAGAGACTTGTGGAGAGTTGTTCTTCCTCTCGAATCGAAGAACGTTGTATCTTTCTTTGTTTTCTTGCATCTACTAGTGAAGATCTTGCTTCGTTTCTCTTATTTCCACTGTTTGGTGCAAAAAAATCTGCTGCGAGGGTGCTGTCAAACTGCTGGGACAGCAGTTTTTCCTCTGTTTTTGTGCTAATCTTGATTAGGTTTGCATGCGAACTCAAATATTACCTTAGGGTTACTTGCGAACTCAAGTATTTCCTATCAAATTACTCATGAAGTTTATGTAACCATCTTCACAAGGCTTGTGGTGAGAGAAAAAAAAAAAAAAAAAAAAAAAAAAAAAGATAAGAGCGGTAGAAAATGAATAGAGTGGACCCTTCACAATTATATGAGGACAGGATGTTGACCAACCACCTTAAGTCCTTGAGGTTTTGAATAACAAATCTATAACGATCCATTGCAAAAAGGACAAGAGAAGAAGAAAATCAATAGATTGGAACCTTCACAATTAGACGACCATGAGATGGCAACGAACCACCTTAAGCTATTGAGGCTTTGATGATGTGACACTTTTCTAATGATGTGGTTCCTTGATAATGTTGCTCTCAATGGTGATATGGCACTCCATTACATTTGAATTAAATTGTTTTTTGGAACTAGCCTTTGGTAATGATTCCACATGAATACATAGAACCAAAGTGAGACAAAACCTTGATCCAATTGGCATAGATGGGACTATTACTAGATCAATTTGACATTAAACGCTACACCTTGAGTCAGTTCAACATTATAGGATGAATCTTAGTCTATTGGGCTAGGAGTGAGAGATCATCCTGAATCATCAGCAAAAAGATCTGGATCCCACCAAAAAAACCAAATTCGCACAACATCATACACCTTCATAATGACCACCCTCTGCCTTCTAAAATTTCAAATCCTAACAAAACTAGAACTATACTACCCAATTATAAAACGTAAAACTCCCCAAAATACTAATACCCATGACCTCTCATTTTTCTATAGTTGTAGCTTCCTACCTCATCCTTACGAGAAAACTCCCCCTCACCAAACCGAGATCCATGCAATTCATTCCACACAACAGCACCCTTCCGATCTTCCAATAACATTTCTCTAGATTCAAATCAGTCAGCATTGTGGCTACTACCCCATCCAATTCAGCCAAACTCTCTCACAGTGAATAGTAAGCACCCCGTTCTAAAATTCCTCGCACAATCAACCCCTCTTCTTGTTTAAAATAAAAACATAAACAAAAAAGTGAAAGCAAAGTAAAACCTAACCCACGTTTTTGCTAAATTAGGTTCAGAAATCAATTGAATTACATTGGCTCGTTCCGCCAGTCAGCCCTCTTTGCTTACAAGGCAGTATATTCTATTGTTCACATTCATCTATGTTTTCTTTGCAAAGTAGTCATCATTCATTGTTGCATCCACTATGCTTAAGAATTCAGATACGTAACCTAAAGATAAAGAAGGTTGGCTGAAGCCAGAGTTTCGTCTGTCTTAAAATTCAGGTATTGAGCTCAATTTTAAAAGAATGGGATAATTTAGAAAATCTTGAAACATGAATTAATTCTAAGATTGTGTAAGCTTCAAAAGAGTAAGACTGTTCCCTCACCCCTACGAGGCATACCTGCTTAGCTACATCAGCGAAACTGAAAACTCCATCAAATGAATTTGATGTGTGCAACTTATTCTAGAGTCTTGTGTTTACTCGAGGAACTAACCAAAACCTTAAAAACTACACACTTTGTTGGTTTACCGTTTCCTATGTTGGTTACAATACAATATGAGCCAGTTTGTGAATGAAATCATTGTATTCTGTACTTTTTTTGCATTGAGTTTATATTGAACTTATTTCTCGTCAATGTCGCAATTTTCTCATGATATAATTAGCAATCAGGATCAAATACAATTATCAGGAATGATCTTTGAAACTTCAGAAAGGAAAATCATATTGAAACTTCATTTCAATATGAGAGGACAAATGGCGGAAACTTGTCAAATGTAACCTCAACTGCAGTTTATTAATCAGCATAAAAGAAAATTAAAATGGGAAGAAAATTGAAGTAGAACCCCTCACACCAAAATGCATTAGGAGTGCAGGACATGTAATCAAAATAGCAAGACATTTTATAAAAACTACAAGAGAACACTAAAAATCAGTATTTTTACGAGATGCCCTTTTGTATTGATTAAATGTCCTGCACTCTTGATGGATTTTTGTATTAGGAGCTCCTGATGCAATATTTTTCCATCAGGTTGTAACATAAAAAGGGAATGGCTTCAGGTTGAGCATACCTCCAACGTTCAGCAACAAGAAAATAACCACAAAAATCCAGAGATACCAACTGCAGGGAAAGAGAACCACGAGTATAAGGATTTCATAAGCTGCATGGTACACTGAATAATAATCTAATAGTCACTTGCATTAAAAACTTTCTAGGTACACAGTTTGCACCATCCTTAGTGATAAAAATCCAATTGTATATGTATGAAGCATGGACACCAACAAAGAACAGGAAATAGATATAGACAGAGCAATCCAAAAATGTATAAACAATGAAAATAAAGCTCCTAGAGCATGTGGTTAACAGAATAGTTTAGACATATAATAATTAACATTCTGTAAGGAAACCATATGATACCAAATGGTGTCCAACAAGATTTTTGTGTGACCAACTTGGTGCGCCCAACGTAGTGAGTTTATGATGTCCAGGTTTACTATTTCCAATATGACTGAGCATGACATGATGGCCTTCTAAAAAAGTTTGTGATTCATAGTTTGTTATGAAAGAGCAAAGACTCCAATTTCAAGGAAAGGGTCATGAGCAAGATTACCTAATACCAACCACTTTCTTAAAGTCAGCTTCAAGGGCTCGAACCATGTATTTGTGAAAATCAAACTTGCGGTTACCCTTGCAATGAGCCTACACGATAAGGGATATCAACGTCAATAAAATTTACATGAAAATTTGGTATACTTGAAGAGGAAAAAAATCAGAGAAGAGTAAGAACTGTAATCAAATCACAGAATGAGTAATATATATAATTAAAAAGGTAGTTACCATAATGAATCCAAGCCTCATTGTGCTATAGTCTGATTTTGTTACTGATCCAAAAATTTGTTTAAAGAAGGAATGCTGAAACAAGAATCAAATCAATGGGGATATGTTTATCTCAAAGATTATACAAGGAATAATACTGAATAAATCATAGAAATAGACATATCAACATCTTTAGTTCTAAAGAAAACAGGTAATATAATGCAGAATTAACGAAGAAGCCAAATCAACCAATAGTTTATGTATGGCTATAGTAGCTAAGTGCCGTTTGGGATATTTTTGTTTTTTTATTTATATTTTAAGATGAAATAAAATAAGTTTGTTTTTAATGTATTTATAATTTAAAAAATAAAAAAGATTGCGGTCTCGATCTTGGTATGATTGGTGGAGATGAGAATATATGTTGCCATCACTGGAATCTGGAACGAGGAGATGCAAGTTGACGACGGGGAAATCTTGGTTGCAAATGCCGGTGATTGTAAGTCGAAGGCAGAGTCGAAGCTTTTCCAGTGGCTGACAATCCTCCATTATTTTTCCTTTTTTTTGTGTGAAGTGCCAGTTACTTTTCACAGCTTCTTAAAAATATATTTTGAAAATATAAAAAATAACTCTAAGTTATTTCAGCACCTTTTTAAAACAAAGAAATTTATTCTTAAACAATCCGAATTATTATGATTTTAACCATTTTTTTTAAATAAAAAACACAAAAAATAAAAATTAAAACAATTCAAAATTAGGCCTAAGTTGCTACGATCAAGACATTAATAGACACAACACAAACCGTTTCTTAATTCTCACTTTCCAAACAATGAATTTTGTTTTAAAAAATAATCAAAAGATTTAAAAAAAAAATTCATTATTCCATTTCAGTAGCATCATATTCGTGGTTACTCACGATAATCAAATGAAGCTTCATTGTACAGGTACAATGTTGAACTACATGAAACAATTTAAGATAGAAATCAAAGAGTAGAGATACAGTTCTCCTTACGGCCAGAATAACATCATAACTTACCAGCCAACTTAATATTACAGAATCCTTGCCAATGCCAAGAAAGCGGCCCTTAACAAATTCAGTTTGGTGAACATGAGTGATCGCTGGGGCAGAAGCTGCAAGAATACAATTGCTTGTTCAGCATGTACAAACGAAAAGTAATGATATTTGGGGGATTTATATACATGTCACTTTATTTCATGCTATTATGTCTAATACCTAAAGCATTAATATTACATGCCTACCATAGGCATGTAATATTATTGGTAGGCATGTAATATTAATGTTTTAGGTGTTGAATATGTAAATAGCATGAAATAAAGTGGTATGTATGTAATTTTTGTCCCAAACAGAAAATGTGGCGTGAACCAGATAGGACATATATGACATTGCCAGTATGGAGAGCAGGGCAAATAGTAAATACCATTTTCCACAGTTTCTTTGTGGATGGAAACTTCCCAGTGCTTCCATTGGCGTATCTATGTGAAATGAAGCTATCATCAGCATATTAAAGACAGCACCAAGTTCTTAATTCCATCTACTTATGAACTCAAGGATGTGTGCAAATAAAAAACATATGTAGATTTTAATTACCTTTGCACTTCCCAAGAGCATGGTTAGAACACTAAGAATCACATGAGTTGTGGCCAAAACAAAGATAAAAATATGAAGTTGATGGATTGCTTCAATCGATAGAAGTGGAACTTTTCCCTGCAAAAGAGAAAGTAGAACAGATAATTAATGAGATTGATGCATGAGCCTAGTAAATAAAGCAAATTATAGCATTTTTCTTGTTTTCTATTCTTTGACACGTGAATCTTCAAGAATTACACATGCAGATTATGTATACACAGTATAAATTATCATATTATGTAGAATGTACACTCGATAGGCAAGCCATAAATATACTTAATACTTATTGGAAGCACATTGGTTTACGAATACATGGATGGGATTTCCATGGGCGTATCTTTAAATTTTATTTAGTTCAAATGTAAAGAGATAGGCCACACCATCATTTCAAAAACTAAAAGAGTGAATGAGCTTGTTGGGTGATTAGCATTTATTTTGGCTAACGTTCTTCCAGCCTCTTTGTGAACATGGGTAACTAATGTGCTTGCACAGATTATTGCTTCGCATGCTTCTTTTTTTCCGTGGGTTTAAATGAGCACACATCAAAAAACGGTTGTGCAGATCAGGGAAAAAATCATATGTGGGACCAAGCTTGGGTTTAATTCAAGCGTTGGAGGAAAATTTTGAATGGAAGGGGGGGGAAATTTGAATAGAAGGGCTGTTTAGGGATTTTGTATGGGGATGAGAGTTAAAGAGGGGGAAAGGGGGGAATTAGGTCCTCATCTTGATTTTGAATGAAAAGTTTGAGATCTCATTGTGTGCTTGGGCTCTAGGGTTTGCTAGAGACTTGTGGAGAGTTGTTCTTCCTCTCGAATCGAAGAACGTTGTATCTTTCTTTGTTTTCTTGCATCTACTAGTGAAGATCTTGCTTCGTTCTCTTATTTCCACTGTTTGGTGCAAAAAAATCTGCTGCGAGGGTGCTGTCAAACTGCTGAGACAGCAGTTTTTCCTCTGTTTTTGTGCTAATCTTGATTAGGTTTGCTTGCGAACTCAAGTATTACCTTAGGGTTACTTGCGAACTCAAGTATTTCCTATCATAAAACTTCAGAAAGAAGAATAGGGGAAGATGAAGGAAAACTCCATGAACGTAACTTAGGGAGGAGATGATGAACTTTATGCACACATATTGAATAAATGGAGAAGAAGAAATCAATTTTTTGTCAATTATCAAACTAAGCAATCCATACAGCTAGCCCATTTTATAAAGAAAAATAAGCCTTAAAATAAAAATGCCAAAAATAAAGATGGGGGCTTGAAAACCGGTTTGTTTTAGCTCTTTTATAGCCTAGCTCGACTCCTTTTGATTGATCATGAAGAATATGAGCAAAGTTAGCTTAATGGTCTTTATTATACCAAATAAAAGTCAGCTTGAAATGATGAGGATGTAAAATATTTGAAATTTTCTTTGGCTCAACTTTATGTAGCCCGGATCAACTCCTTTTTGTTGCTTTATGAAGAGCTAGTCCTACGAAGAACGACTACGCCCTCAAGGTAAATGATTGGTTAAAAGGATTGAGATTCCAACTCTTGACAAATCCAAAGGTCAGTGAATATCTTATCATCAACGTTTTTCTTAGATGTCCATCCCACTTTTTTTTTCTCTTTTTGCCCTTTGTCCAAAAGATCAATCGATTAGGTATTCTTATATAAACTGAAACTAAAAAATTCACTCATCCATACTCTTTTCTTGGAACGAAACTTTAATTTTAGACGACTATCATTTGTTTATATATTTATCATCATATTGTGAATGTAAAATACTCATTGTACTGTATCTCGTCTGAAGCATAAGTTAACACTCTATTTTGGATGCGTGTATTTTTGCACTGCCAAGTCTTTAGAAGATTCAGATCTTAACTCAGGCAATTTGATTTGGGGAACTTGCAATGCAAATTGGTAGGGTTGGTGTAACTGCTAATAAGTGAACTACCACCCTAAATGTTCCCCTCCGCCCTTGCACCAAGATTTCTTTCAATAAATGGGCTTTGCAGCTAGTTGTCCTAGCAAGTAGTCCTGTCCTACTTTTTTTAAGATAATTTTTCCATGGAAGAATTCAGACCACTCTTAGTAGATGATAAGAGGAAGGAAAAGGAATTTGATAGAGAAGGTGCAAAAACCACCATGCGCATGATGAATGACCTGACTGTGTCAACGGGGGTCAAGTATCTCAAGTTGCTTTCAGATGGATAAGTCTTGTTCTCTGTGACACTTTTGCATGTTCAACTCTCTTGATTCTATCCAACTATATCTTTATGCTTCACATGCTCATCTTGAGCTAACGTACATGAAAGTTTAGGCTGTGATGAGCTTTATTCGTATCTTTTCTCTCATCTTTCACTAGTATTGGCCTTAAACCTTCTAGCCATGGGATAGATCAGCAAGACGTCATGGGTGATGCTTACTAGCTAGTCCTCCCTTCAAAATTTGTTATATTTTCCTTTCTGTTTCAAAATTGTGGACCCTATTTGTGCATAGCTTGACCTCCCAACATGAACAACTACTCTATAGGGAAATATATGTGAGGCTCCTTTTATGGGCTTCCAATAATGGACGCATAATCCTTTTAATATGAAGGTGATGATTTTTTTTACTAATTATGTTTATTTTGGTTTCCAATTAATTGCTCTCTGGAATTGATTCACCTTGCACCCAAGTTTTTAAAGGTTTGATTTCAAACACAAACTCCCAAAAGCCTTATCCAGTGCGAAGGAGTTTCTTATCTTCACATTAACCGGTATTTATTTTGTACTTTTCCCTGCCCCCTTGTGAATCTAACACTAGATGTTGCAAACTAATAAAAAGTAGGTTTAGAGCTTAAATTTTTGCAAGGCTTGCTTAAACCCAAAGTAATCATTTCTTACATTGAGTTTAGCCTCTTCTTTTACAGCTTTTTGACAATAAAATGATCTTTATTCACCTTTTAAAAAACATCTAGAAATTTTAAGAGTGTAATTGTGATTTTAGTTGGGCCAAGGGGTGAAAAGATGCAGCCAGAATAGAATTCTATTGATAGCTATGCATTCTTTTTTATATAAGAAAGCTGCAGCTAGACCCTTCTCATTGAATTAGATAATATAGAAAATGCAATAACAAAATATAAGTTATTGAAAGAACGCTGAAGACCGGTAGCTATGCATCTGTAGAAGTCATTTTATTGTGAAAAGTACATTTGATATAAACATGCATGCTAATATTGTTCTTTCGGTTCATTTCTTTGTTATCTTTTTGGTCCCGGCATTTTTAATATTCTGCACAATTTTAACTTGAAATGTACTCTTTAATCATACGGATACTGTTTTTGTTTTATCTTTAATGCTAATACTTTGTATGAAATGGGTGTCAGTCATAAGTGCGTGACTTCTGTTAGCTTATTTATCCAAATTGCTTGTGCAGCTTTTGGAATTGGAAGGTCTTTTCATCAAATCCATGCCTAAAACTGAAAGGGTTCCGAACTTGCTAGAAAACAGTCCATCTTATGATTATGAACTCACGTCTTCCGTGAGGGACATCATGGATAATGGTATACTCAATTTTCAGCTTCAAGATTTTTATGACCAAATTGAGGTTGGATTGACAGCTTTTGAAGTAAGGGTTCCCCAGTTTGATTTTGTAGTGTTAAATCTTACTGTGTTCACCATTATAAACAAGTTAATCATTGTGAAATATTGCAGGTGAAATTGTTCATGCCCAGTTTTCCAGTTGTTGTCTCAGTTCTTGAAAAATGTAACCCAATTTTTGAAGTTCGTTTATGCATTTTCATGGATGAACCGATACTGAAACCAGTTGAGGTAATTTTTTGTTTGATTTTTTCTTTATCATAGCAGCATTACTTGTTATCTTTATTGCTATGGATTTTGAAAGAATGTTTTTTGGGCTGCCAAATAGGAATGATCTCATAAATACAGATGTGATGCTTTAGTTATTGTTCAAGCTTAATGGGATCTTAATGATATTTGCTTGCCACTAGTATTCCCATAGTAGTAATTATTTATTTCTAGTTAATATTGGTGGTCTGGATTGAACCAGTATTTTGAAAGACTTTTTTTTGTGCTGGTCTTTTGTATCTTGTTAGAGAGGTGATAACCCCATAATATAAGTTATATTAAATTATCAGTTAATAAAATCTACCCAATTGTAAATAGATTATCTATTTATTTAAATAAATAAATGAATGACAGGAATATTCTTCTTTTAATCTCTTAAGGGTTAAAGCCCTTTCAATCAGGTTCCTCTCTTAAGAACCCCAAAACATCAAAGCCCTATGTCAGACTCCTAGATAACTCATGTTACATAAAACATTAGATCTCTTCTCAATTCAATAACACGCCATCTTCATTTCTCTCATCTAATCGTCAACGCCAAGCACCAAGTTGCTCAAAGTCTATGATGCACCGACACTTCTTCTCAAAGAGGTGTGTAGTGTCCGACACGCGTATCTTAAATATTTTATGAATTTTTTAAATCTAACTTCTTATATTTAAATTTTTTACTTATTTACAACAACAACAACATCAAGCCTTTGTCCCACTACGTGGGGTCGGCTACATGAATCCTTTTTCACCATTGTGTCCGGTTAAAAGTCAAATTCTTATTTAAATCTAATAAAGAAAGATCATTTCTAATATTTTCTGACCAAGTCTTTTTAGGTCTACCTCAACCTTTTTTAACATAAGTCAAATCAAATACATCAATTTTCCTAACTGGGTCATCGGAAGGCCTCCTTTTAATGTGACCAAACCATCTAAGATGACTCTTTCTAATCTTATCTTCCACTGGAGCTATTCCTACCTTTTCACGTATATGCTTAAAATATAAAAATTTAATTTCTTATTTTATATACACAACACCAAATCAATCGCCTGCACTTAATACTCCATTCATCGAATATTCTCATTTTTATTTCTCTTTGGCAGGTTACAACTTTGATTTCAAATGAATTAGTGCCTTAGTGGAACTATTACATATGAGGTTATAACTTCTATAGTTAAGATTGGGTTGTTAAAATGAATAAGTGCCTTTGCGGAATTATTACATAAGATGATATTATGTAGACCTTAAGCTAAATTTTATAGAATCGCAATTAGTTCGACTGTGTTGTGTGGATTTTGTTGTTAATTTAATGTATGTAAATAATAATTTAGAGATGGATATGTTGCAAAATTAGGAAAGATAAATTGAAGAATAATTATCTTAAAGGATCATTTTTTTGTACAATCTATTGAAGATAAGATGATCAGAAATAAACATAGGGAGCTTGAAAGCTTTATGAGGCATTTACAAAGAATATGAAACTAGCTAAACAAAGATCTATGTTTAACGCAATAAGAAATTCACTCATAGTTAATTTAAATTTGTGGAAATAAGAATTTAAAGATGGATATGTAGCAAAATTAGGAAATATACATTGAGGAATAATTATCTTAAAAGATCATTTTTTAGTAGCATCTATTGAAGATAAGATGATCAGAAATAGGCATAGGAAGTTTGAAAGCTTTGTGAGGCATTTGCAAAGAATATAGAATTAGTTGCAAAGATTGAGCATATGATATACAATCTCAGTATGTGATATTAACAATTATCATTTGGTATCAATAAAAGATAAAGTGATACATATGCATGATATGTTTAAATGTCTTTGAGCTATTATCGCAAAAAAACGTAAATATATGAGGATATTACTTCTAGTGATATCATGGTGTTGTTGAAATGGAGAACTGCCTTAGTAGCATTATATAATAAGAGGATATGATAGAATTAAAATTAAATTTAATAGAATTAGAATTAGTTTGATTGTGTTGTATGGATTCATGTTTTGGGCAATAAAAGAGTCACTCATAGCTAAGTTGTGTGTGCACAAATGTGGATGTTAAGATTGATGTGTGGCAATATTAGAAAGGATAGATAAAGGAATGATTATATTAGAGGATAATTTGGAGAAATATCTTTTAAAGATAAAATGTCTGAAAATAAACATAGGTGGTTTTACAATGTATAACAAAGGATATAAAATATACCAGCAAGCGTGCATATAAATTTAAAATCGAACAACTAGGGATGAAATATATTACGCCTGGGATAACATGGAAAAGTGCTATTCAAAAATATTTGTGAAGAATAGGTTCAACACCTCTTGCAGCTCTCAACAACAATGAGTGCAAATAATGGATTCATAAATTGACCTCAAATAGTTGATATTTGACTAATTGATGATGCTAAGAGAGTAGATGGAGGTCTTGTCTTGTTAAAGGGAAGGGAGCTTTTCGAACAATAGTGGAGAGATGAGAGAGGTTAATTGCATATAGAATTTAAAAAAGAAGGGACCAACTTCTTTTAGAAGTAAATTAACTAAACCAAATGGTTTTATCCCTTGACATACAAAATAATGTCTTGAACTTTAGCGATTTATACATGTCTTATCCATATTTTGGAAAGGTTTGATAAACCAAAATTTCTGATCTAACATGTAGATTTTGTTTTTATTTTATGCGCAAGATTTAAAACCTGTGTTCTTCCTGCCTCTATAGTAAAAATATTTTTGCTGATCTTGCATATGCAACAACTAAGGGTTTCATTTTAGTGAAAAGTATTGTAATATTTTTTTTATTCATAGAATTTTTTTTTTACAAGTTTTACTTTTCCCCCTTGCAGGTCAATTGTCTAATGACGTTGCTCTGTGTGAGGTTCTCTCAAAAAGTACTGAGTTCATTTATAAGATTATACGAGTTGTCAGAAAAGAGTTTTGTATCACTTTCATGGAGAATTCAGCGTCCTAGTGAGTTTGATATACCAAATGTTCTTGGTGCATCTTTCTTTTCCTTTTCCTTGAAGTTAGACCATTTTAATATCCATGTTGATCTTGAAGATGATGTTGAATATGATTCTGTGGTCCTATGCACCGTTAACAAGATAGCTATCAGGTAGGTGTCTATCGTGATTGTTTGAACTGCATTTATGAAATGTGATTTACTTTAAAAGCATTAATACTTCTAAGCATCTTGTTCTCAGGTTTACTGACGGAAAATCCAATGAACTTTGTTGTCTTATAAAGACAATTATGTTTGGTACTTCCAACTTGAAAAATGAGCAGGATAAGTTTATTTTATGCCAGGCGAGAAGTAGTTCTACTAATTCAGCTTTGCGTGTTCCTGTGGAGTATGATTGCACTAACTTAACATGTGTTGCGTGTACTGAAAACTTATCTAGCGAGTATTGCATTCAGTTGCGTTATAAGAAAAGCTATGTTCAGGTTAATACTGTTCAACATGATTATAGTATTTTCTTGTGTGAAGTTGATTTTCATGTCTATCCGAGAATCTGTGGTTTACTGGTGAGATTTTTCAATAGAATTAATGATAAATACTTTTCTTCCACTTCTTTGGTGAGTTCTCTGGAAGTGGATCAGGATGATTACAACTTCGACATAGTTGGTATTAAGCATGCTAAGTTTGGCTTCTCTAATTTCTGTGCTTCTGATCCGGCCCTATGTGAATGCATTTCTGTGGATACTTTTCCTTTTGTGACTATCGGAAATTCAGGTTCTCCATCTAATCTTGACACCTCAATTATACACAGTATTAATGGATTTCAGGATATGTCTATGATTGATAAACAATGCCCTAGAAGTCACAAGACAAGCATAAACAAAAGATCCACAATCATGAGTCATTCAATAGTGGGAAATGGAAATTGCGCTTCAATGGAGGATCATCAGATAACTATTTGTTATGATATCATTTTGCTTGATATCAAAGTAAATAATGTAAAAGTTCATTTTCATGATTCTTCTTGTATTATTGGTACAGTAAGTGTTCCCCAATTTAGATCTACCATTTCATTACAAGGGACTAGCTGTTGGGATGTACTGGTGTCAACTGACGGGCTTTTATTTTCCTCATCCTGGTCCTCCCATGAGGTTGTTTGCGGTTCTTCTTCATCGGGCATATCTACTGTTTTAAATATTCGTGCAAGGAAAGAAGAAAAGGAAATGATTGTTCAAATTAGTTTTGGCTTACAGCACGTCTCCTGCATCTTGACACCTGAATTTCTAGCCATCTTGATTGGGTACTTCTCCTTGCCTGATTGGACATTTAAGGGGAGTATGAAAACACATGAGCTGTGCTCAAATTTTGGTAATGAATCTGAAAAACACCTAAGAGAAGAATCTAATGTCATTTACAAGTTTGAGATACTTGACTCTATATTGATTTTACCTGTGGAGAACCATACAGATTTTGTTTTACAAGTTAATATTCCAAGATTTTACTGTAATTTTATGCCCGCTAGTAGTCCTGACATTGTTTTTAAGGATATTCCTTTTGACTGTGTGGTTACGTCCATTGCCATTGCCAACAAGCTTGATATCATCAACGTATTTGGGAGAAGCTTATCATTGTCAGTAGTGCCGGTCAAGGATGATGCGGATTATCTATTCAAGCATTGTGAATACGTCTCTACTAAAAATATTCCCTTAATCGAGCAATTAGACGCAGACTTATGGCTGAGAATACCTTGCAAGTTGCAAAATTCAGTTGAAAATTTTGATTTTCCCTCTTTGATCATGATGAGAGTGGATACTTGTAAATTGATAGTTGAAGGTACAATATTATTAGTAGATCAGATATTGCATCGTTTAGAAAGAATTCTGTTTCTGAGACCAATATGATTTGTTAACTTGTTTAACAATTCTTATTTTTTTTCTTCCAGAGAAGTACTTCACTGATGGACTTGAAGCAACTGTGAATGTTGCTGATCAGCTTTCTTTGATTGGCAAGGAATCTGAATGTTTTAGATGTGATGTCTTACAGTTTATGCAGCTCAAGAAGAGAAGGAAAGATGAACCTGCTACCATTCTTGACATGACAGATGAGTCTTTTGTTATTATGAAAATATGTGTCAGGGCACTATCAATAAAATTTTCTCACTTGAGTGAGAAACAATCTTCTCCATTGGAAACCATAGCTAAAGCTTATGTGAGGCTTGAATGCTCTACTACATTACGAAATGGTTTACCAAAATCCCTCAATGTGGATATTTCCAGTTTGCTGCTTCATTCTTTTCTCAGTGATGTGCTATTAGTATCATTCACCTCTGATGGAGATGTGACCTTCCGCCTTGTCATTAACTTCTGCAGATGGGTTGACAGTGGGCCCGAGATTGTACTTGCTATACCTTCCCTTGACGTTTGGTTGCATATGCCAGATTGGGATGGCATATATGCTTTTCTTGCTTCCTTCAAAAACAAATTTAACATGACCTTATTGTCAACCACAGCAATTCTGGGTCCACCTCGAAATACCCCAGAACATGAGACATCTTTATGCTCTGAAAATGTCATGGATGAGACTGTACGTATGACCATGAAATCTAGAAACATAATGATTTCATTCTACTTGCCCATCTGGTACAACGACGGAAATTCAGAAAAATCTAAAGCAAGACATGAACAAAAATGCCGTTTTCTTAATGCTTCATTTGCTGAAGATGCGCCACTCTTTCAATCAAAGTCTTATAGGAATGTGAAGATAATTTTGCAGAGTAAATGTTGTGAATTAACTCTAAGCAAAAACCATATGAAACTGAAATGTAGTATGGAAAAGATGAGAACTATACTGGAGATGGATCAAGACCAAGAAGTTTATTCACTTCCCTTCGTATGCATATCTCATGTGAAATTAGAATCTGAGATACATACAGGACTAGAGGGATTGATGCAGATTTTTATTGAGGTTCAAATAGACTCTGCTGATGTTGGGTTATCTTATCAAATATTCAAATTTTGGACTCAAAATCAGTTTAAAGCTCATGAATCAATAACTTCTAAGATGCCATCACACTGCATAATGTTTAAAGTTAGATTGATGAAGGGAGCTGTACTCTTGAGTGATGGAAGGGTATGTGATTTTATTGGTTAGTGAAGTTAGACAATGATGGTCTGTGTATGTTATCTAGCTACTGTGTCAGACTATTAATATCATTGTTGCGCCCACAGAACACTGCTGTCTGGAAAATGAAGGGCTTCTGTATTTCGTTCTTTAAACACCCTCATCTATTTTCTTTGCTTCTGTTCAGATCATTACCCTTCCTCTCATTTTTATGTACTCTTCTTACCTTTTTTTAGTGGAGCTTCCACGGACCTATCCTGGAGATCCTGATAAAGAACATGGTCATTCAGTTAAACCAGAGAAAGGATAGCTTGGAGGGCTCTGGCTTTTCTGATCTTCTAATAAATTACAATAATATTGATAAGGCATGTTATCATGATCTTGAAATAAATTTCAACAATATTGATGAAGCATGTTATGTTCTTGTACAAATTTTAGCCTTTCAAAGGTACTCATTAAACTTTCTAATTGTACTGAGATCTTTGCTAGGTTATGTGGGAGCCGTTTGTTGAACCATGGAGCTTTCAAATCACATTAGTAAGAAAGGGAGCGGGAAACTTCCTATTTGGCCAACCCAAAACTACAGATATTTGTATGGACTCAACAAACCAGCTAAAATTGAATATTACGGAACCACTAATTGAGGTATTTGTACTTTTGTTCTTTATTGGTTTCTCTTTTATAGTATAATGATAGTTGAACTTTGAAGAGCTATTGGATTAGTTTTGTGGATTCTTGGCTATTTTTTGTCACTTTTTTTTTATTTTTTATTTTTTATTTTTTTTTATTTTTTGTCACATTTGAGACTTTGAGTTATATATATAATTTATTAGTATGTTTACATGAAATTGTAGTTATATAAAACTATCATCATAAAAAAATATCAAAAATACAGTAGATAAACATAACATAGAGTGTTGCTACTATCTATTGAAGAGAGTTGCTGACATCCCGACACCCTCTAAGTCTTATATGTCAAAATAATTTTGTGAGTTATAAATCTTTAGGTTGGAATCAGGTAAATCCATGAGAATGGAAAACTACAATTTTCTGATTAGTAGCTCAACGAGAAAATATCAGTTGGAACTCACTAAACTTGAAAAACTTCTCATCAAATCATGAGATTGAATTGAGTTTGAATCAGCAACAGTCACCGCATCTGAATAATCTAGTGCAATATTGTGAACAAAATTATATTATCACAAGGAGAAGTAAGCAGAAGGACCCTCAATAGGTTGATATATATCTAAACCAACCGTAGTTCTTGAGAGATCAGAAGTTCCAACATCTAAAAGTGATGATGCATAGATGTAAGAGTTGGAGGGTTACTATCATCAACCAAACTATTAATAGCAAGGGAAGGCACTTACTCAAGAGAATAGTGTGATGGACCGGTCTAGGAGGGACCGGTTCTGGTTTTCGCTAGGCGGAATAGGGCCCGCCTGGTTTGAGTTCCGCCCCCTTGGGGTGGGGCCCAAGTTCAATTTCAAAATAGGGAGGGGTCAGCTAGGAGGGAAAAAATAATTCGGGAACGATTGTTTAGAGATCAACTATATTTTGTATGATTCAATTAAGTTGTTTATCCTAGGGTTAGGGTTATGTGATGTTTTTGCTGAATTGAGAGTTCCTTTTGGTGAGAGGGCTCTAGCTGGTGGCTGGGGATTTAGGAGAGCCGGATCTTTCTTTCTAATTGAAGATACAATTGTATCTTGTCTTTCATTTATAGTTATTTCAATAAAAAGGTGTTCTTGTGTGTTTCTTCATCCTAGTTCCCTTGTGTTTGTTTTCTGGTTTTATGCTGAAATTGAATTTCAGCCAAAGGTTTGGGCAATTTTTGCATCCACTTCCTATCAAAATGTAGTAATATCCATTGCTTGAGAAGTCCTAGGGGGCAAGGGGGCTAGTTCTAATTGTTCACTGAGTACTTGCATAACAAAAAGCTTGTGAACCCATACTATGAACAATGGTGCAAACCCCATCATTACCACCCCATAAAAGGATTTCCTTCAAGATTTGTAATGTGAGGGCATACCTTCAAATTCTGCCTTTTGCAAATATTTACATATTGGAGTGCCAATCCATACCTCCGGAGTAAAATAAGGTAGGAATATTTATCTCAACAAGAACACGGGTTACATATGAATGTGTCTAGTAGTAATAGCATATGCTTATATTAGCTTGCCAAAAATGAAACCCAACAAGTGGTGTTTTTCCAAGTGTGGTGCATAGGTGATGAGGACATCCACAGACGCTACCGACATGTGTATCGATGAAGGAATTGCATATCTACGGCCACGATTCAGCGCATCTACTTTTGATTCAGTTTTCATGATTTGTTATTTAGTTATTTGTCGTTTTCCGTTTTTACCCTTTTGCGGAGTTGTTTTGTTATTATAACCCAGAGGGCAATCTTGTACTTGTTCTTTTCATGAGTAGGGACCTATATATAGTTGTCTCATATGTTGTTTTTTTCATGAATGATTAATGAAATTTTGTTTCTTTCTTCTTCTTCTTGCATGAGAGCTAGAGAGAAGGGAGAGTGAGCTTCAAGGTGAGCGAGTGCAATACCCATCAGTCGTTGGAAGAGTCCGCGTCTCGTGGCTTTATTTTGTCTTCTTCTTCTCCACCCCTTTTGTTCTTTTCCACTCCCCAACCGTTGACTCCCTTAGCCCCATCGCCGGCCATCTCCCCTCCAAAATCACCCCACGCCTCCACCTTGTCAAGCCCACTCGCCACCAAGTCCTGTCACCCCTACCCAACCTGACGCCCCTTCATCCTCCACCAGCCTTTCCGCCGGCCACCCCTTGCGTCCCCTTCATTATGGTGATCTTAACACCTTAAATGATATAAGAGTGTAAAATTATGGGGAATAAATCAATAAATGTACATCCAAATGATATAAGAGTGTAAAAATTCTCTTGCATCGAAGATGCGAGAGGTGCCCGTGAGAGCATGTTAAAGTGGTGTCCTTGGCCCATAAAAATAAGCGAGAGGATGTGAGCATAGAGGATAAAATTATGCAAAGGGCAGTGTGGTCGAGCGCACCGGGTTTCGAACGAGAGAGAACTATGAGACATTTAAGTATGTAATGAATATTGATTGTCTGATTTAGGTTAAGATTCTAGAATTTTGGGAGCTGCAAATGTTTTTCAAGCTTCTTAAAAAGGCTTTAGTTGATGCATGAAACTTTTTTAAGTGCAATGGGCGTATGGATGTGTTGATGCATTCGACCTTTTACCCTTGTATTGCATCGTATTTTTTCCATGATTTGAACCTATGACCTCATTAAAATGGAGTCATAATCTGTGGGCTCCAAAAATTTGGCCCCAGCCCCTCCGCCCACGTTGCTTTTTTTTTTTCGGGGGAGTTTTAACGGAGTTAAGTTCCGGGGTAAATTTTGGGAAAGCAGATGGGTTTGTAGATAAGACGCTACCCAAAGATTTCGCCGTCATTTTGCGATGACTTTATGATCTGAGTTCTAGTTTCCTATAGGCGCAAGCCCCTATAGTTAATTATCCCTCCCGATCATGAGAGAGAAATTTCGATTAAGGCTAATCGTCAATCAGATATTTAGAGATACGTAGTATCTAGTATATTGTAGCAACATAGATATTTGGAATGGTTGGAGAATTTGATAATTTGGAGGATTGGAAGATTTGGAGATTTGATATTTAAAATTGAAAATTGCACCATCTTGCACTTAAAACAGATGGTGGGGGAATGGATGATAGTCCCGATCAAGATCCCATGGTTTTGTCATCCAGTGCCATCATGGACCCTGGTATAATTAGTCAGAGGAGATAGTTGACCCAACCTGACAGAAGGATCCTTGTCGGCAACCATGGGTTGCTTCGTCCAAGGGTATTTTGTAGATCTGGGGGGATATTTGTCTAAGGGGACAAATTTGAATCTACCTTAGCTAACAGAGGGCTTTGTGCCCTATCGATTATATACTATTGATTCATATCTCAAGGATTTGATGTCACTAAGGAACGTATTATCTCTAGCCATAACCGCTATCTGTGGTGCCATTTGACGACAAAATCACTCGGTTCAGAGGGCCCCGGGTCATAACCGTTTATCTTGCGGTGTCATTTGGCGGCAAAATCGCCGGTCAGAGGACACGTACCACGTCCTTATTGGCAGGAGATTGTTTGAGAATAAATTCTAGTGATATTTTCAACTAGGCATTAGCTCCATATAGGCTAAAGTAAATCTTAATTTATCAACTCCGTCAAACTGTTGCGGAGGATGGATGGATTTTGCTTTAATTGTTTCATGGTTGAATTTCAGTTTTAAATATTTGGATCTGGATGATTTTGGAATTTTTGGATTTTGTGGGTTTTGGAGTTTTGATGAGTATTTGGATAGCATTTTGAATTATTTGGAATGGACCCCCCTCTGGTTGAGATTTTCATTCAACACGGTCATCATCGGGGTGACTTTGAGGTCACTTGAAAATATCCGAATTTCATGGAAGTTCAAGAGTATTTTGAAATATTTGAAATTAACCCCTCTGATTGAGATCTGCATTCAACACAGCCATCATCGAGGTGTTTGGGGTCATTTCCATTTGTGGATTAAGCCTTGTCAACTCGATCAAGTTGTTGACCAAGGATCGAGTTTCTCGTAGGCTTTATGGTTTTGTGAATGAATTTCTTTTGTTATAGACCTTGAAGGCCTAATATGAATGTTTAAAATAAATATCCCGGTCTAACTCACGATCGCATATTTATTTAATAGTTCGAGCCGTGTCAACTCCTATCTACCCGCATAGGAGGATCGGGCTCGAATTTAGATTTATTTATTGACCTGCGCAGCATCCCTAGACGTCACGTATGTACCCATAACACGCTCACCGGGGCCCATGCAGGTGTTTGGGGGCATTTTATAATTATTTGTTGAACATTGTCGACTCCTATTTACCCGTTTAGGAGAATTGGGTTCAAATTTATTGACCCGCAGCATCCCTAAATGTCACATGTGTTCCCACAACATGCTTGCCGGGGCTCATGCGGGTCGTGATTATATTTATTCCATTATTGTACCTATGTGCATACATATTACAGTGCATGTCTGATGGGTACTTTGAAATATTTTAGTCGTGTAGGTAACTTCCATTTGAATGCACACGTCATTTCATTTGAGACCTTATATACGCCTTATGTCCGCTAATACAAGTGTTGCGGATCTGGTGGCTTGTTGTAGCAGCTTGTGAATTGAGTTATTTGCTGTTTTGTACAGGTACACTGTCGTGCACTACTTGTCTCTTTCTATAGGTGGATTGTAGTGCACTAACGAATCTCCTGCTTGTGCTTGTAGATGCTTGTAAATGGCCCATTGTATGCATCACGAGTTTCTCACAGTGACTCATTTTTATTTGTACTTGATGTAGCCATATTACATTTTGTTGGGGATGATGCATTGAATGTACAACAAATCTCCTACGATAGTTCGTAGGAGCTTACATCTGCTGCATATTTTTCGTCTCCACTTGCAGCGAATCAATGTGTTTGTTAACCATTTGAATGGTAGTTGATCGTAGGAGTGTTGTAGCATTCACTATCTTATGTTATGATAACTTGTAGGTGTGTAGGTATCTTGTACACATAGCAGGTATACAGTCTTTGCCTACGAATAACAAGTCATATAAACCTCTACATTCTCTCGGGGCCTATGCATTCATTTCATGTTAAATCCTTCTGCTTGCAGGGGGTTAATGTATTTGCTTAGCATCAGACTGTTTGTTGATCGTAGGAGTATCCTAACATTCATCGTATATTGCACTGAATATGTTGAATTTGGGATAGGTCTCTCACAGCATCATCTGCTTGCAGTAGATTAATATATTCATTGACCATAGGGAGTCACATTTCATTATCAATCTCTCCGTGTATGATGATCTTTTTCACCTGTAGGTGGGCCACTGTAGGCATATGAAAAAGTCTTTCGTCATTGCCAACATATAACTACATCCATTATATGTTGATCATCGTTGCTTGGAAAGGTTGAATACTTTTGCTTGTATTTTGACATTGCTCGCAAGGATGATGTATCTGTTATTGCCTCCTCCTACATGGTTTGTAGTTCTTGTATTTGTCGCATGTCTTTTAGTATTCACAAGAGATTATCACACATGTTTGTCAATTGATGATTGCTCGGTGCCAAGGAGATTATTTCCTTCACAATTCTCTTGTTTCACTTGTGATCATATATGATGGCTAGCATGTCATCATATTCATTACAAGCTTCTGATTGTATGCATCTAAATGACTTGTTGGGTATACTATAGATTGTTCACCATTTATGCATGACTCATATCACATGTCAAAGTCCTTGTTTGCATTTTAACTGTCACTCGTTAGAAGTTGTGTGTTGTTTATGCATGGATTATGACACACTAAAGCTTTCATTTTCTTGAAGCTTCTTCCATCACGAGTCCCCTGTTGTTCATCCAAGTCTTTACTTGAGTTCAATTATTCAAGTCAAGTTTGAATCAAGTTCTTTGTTCATTTGAGTTTGAATCTAACTAGTTTAAGTCATATTCACTTAATATTCAAATTAACTTCAAGTTTGAACTCATTAGATTCAAGCTTATTTTGTTAATCATTTGCTTTGTGTTCAAATACAAGTCCATTTCATTGTTCAAGTTCAATGTCAAAGTTCTGGTTTTGCTTGAGTCTAAATCAAGTCCACAAGTCCGCTGTCAACTTGTCCAAGTCCTTCAAATTCAATTGAAGTTCAAGCCCTTTTGTGGTTCATTTAAGTTCTAGTTTAGGTTCAAGTTAAGTTCAATATAATTTGGTCCAAGCTTAAGCTTCAGCTTAAGTCCACAGTGCAAGTTCAAGTTTTGGTCCTCAACTTGTTCATTTAAGGTTTAAGTTCACTTAAGTCTCATTGTTCAATCAAGTCCAAGTACAATCTCGTGTTCACCTGAAATTTCGGCAGCCTCCCGGCATATCCCCCATTTAGGGGAAACTACGAGAAACTGGGCCTTCCCACCACGCGCATGTATGGTAGGTGTCTTTAGACACCGCGGCCGTGATCTTCATTCCCACCACGCGCAATAAAGGCGTGTATGGGGTCTTCGAGGGTACCTGTTTAAAAAGACAGTTTGTTTTCCCCCCACTCGAGGGTACTTATAAGTAGACATGCCTCATCGTAGGCATCACACCGGGGTCCCATCTCACCACACGCAATAAAGGCGTGTATAGGCAGTTTTCGGTGCGCCATGAACTCTGAAATGTGGCTTTTATATGATTACCCACCTCGTCGTAGGCGTCGCACCGGGGTCCTATCCCACCACGCGCAATAAAGGCGTGTATAGGTGGTTTTCTGGTGCACCGCGAACTTCGAGGGAGATAATCTAAGTTTTAGAGAATTTATACCTTCGCGGGGTTTGGTGGTGTTGGCTCGTGGATCGGGCAAGAGGAGGCACTCTTATTTTTATTAATTATAATTAATTACAATTGATTATACTTAATCATAATTAAGAATAATTAATTATTATTAATTATAATTAATAATAATCAATTACAACTAATTATAATTAAACATAATTAATAATAAGATTTAATTAATTAGCCATAATTAATTATAATTACATATAATTAATTATAGATACTATATTACCAATAATTAATTATAATTAAATATAATGAATAATAAATTATTATAATAAACATTTTTAATAATAATTAATAATAATTAATCATAACTAATTATACTTAATAATAAATAATTAATAAATATTATAATTATTATATTTAGTTATAATTAAATAGAATTTGGGTAGATTTGAATGGTATTGAGGCTTGATTTGAGTTGGATTAGGGTAGGATTAGATTGGGATTTAGGTCAAATAGCTCTTCTCTTTCCCATGAGTTCGGCGGCTTCAAGGGATTTGGCCGAAGAATCACATGAAAGGGGAAAGTTACCTTAACAACAAACGAGCTCCCTCGTTATTTCCGATCAGAATGCTGTAACTTCCGATCCAATGGGAAATGAATGTTGTTGAAGGCGTCGGCTAGGGCAGGTGGAGGTCGGAGGAAGGTAGGGAACTTCTCTCTCTTCTCTCTCTTCTCTCTCTCTCTCTCTCTCTCTCTCTCTCTCTCTCTCTCTTCTCTCGGCTTATACGTGAGAGAAAGGGATTCAACGGGAGAAGAGATGGAGGATCAGGATCCGATGGGTGCAAGGCTTGGATGTCGTGTTGCCACAGGATTTGAGATGGGGGCTCGTAGCTTGGAGGAGGAGATCGGGATTCGGGAGGTGTTCGCATAACCAAATGAAGCGGGCTTCCTCTCCCTTTTATCAACGCGGATGGGAGTAGGATCGAGGAGCTGCCGCAGGATTTGAGCAGGAATCCCGGAACGGCGCCGAATGTACAATATTTCGGTGGGTTTGAGCGGGATTTGCGGGATCTAGCAGAGGTAATGTTTTTTTTTTTTTTGGCTTACTTTTGCTTTCATAGCATAGGTCAACATAATCATTGCTCTGTCTTTCCTCTACTTTTTAAACCCTTGCATTTTCCTTTTGTTGGATCTAGATCTTAGAAATCATTGATATCCCCTTTGATATTATTTTTTATTTTGTTGTATTTTGAATTGACGGATACCCCTTTTGCAGGCTTTGTTCAGGTTACAGAAAATGATTAGCGATGCCTTGAATCAGGATGTTGAAGTACATGAAAGTCTAGGAAACATTGGAAATCCACCAAATGACAAAATACATATTAGGAGATATGCACCATATATTCTCTGTAACGACACTTCATTGCCCTTGACGTTCCATGTTTCTCGTGGCCTTGTCAATGCGCAAGATATTCAAAGTTTGGCTAACAGAGATCTTAGTGTTGTCCAACCGGGTTTCTCCATTCCAATTTATGTCGAAGAAACAATTGATGAACAATTTTTCCGACGTAGACCAGCACATTCGTCGGAGTTACTTATTGAAAAGAAACTTAATGCTGCTTCACATCATATGATTTCCATCCATTTTGATGGGACTTCTTGTCCTTCCAAGCCCTTGTCAATGGATTTGGTGGGCCTGAACTGCTTTGAGGTGAACTTCTCTAATAATAAGCAATCAAGAATAGTAGATATCTGCAGAGATGACAATCCCTCAAAATATAGTTTGGCAACTGAGAGGCAAACTGATGATGATCATAGGAAAGGATTAGTAGTTCCAGTGGTTTTTGAGGTTTCTATGCTGCAGTATAGCAAGATGATACGATTATACTCAACAGTAAGTAGTTGTTGTTTTTCACATGATCTTATTATTCTTGTCCAACCCCTTACTTTCAAATGTTTCCAGGTTATACTCTTGAATGCCACATCTATGCCTTTGGAGCTACGGTTTGATATTCCATTTGGTGTTTCTCCAAAGGTATCACTACAAACATGGAATGATTTTAAGTAAGAAAATTTTGATTTCGTTGATTTCGTTGTTGATATTATCATCAACTATTTGATGGAAAACTATAACAATTCTTAAGGCTATGTAACTGTTGTCTAATAATGTTTCTGTAATAAACTCTAGCTCTTTTAGGCATTGTATTATTTTGAAGTAGCTTTTAGGGTTTAGGGTTACATGATTATTACATCATTGTCATGATCATATTATAAGGTTATTCAAGTCTGCGTAGGTCTTTTGTTTTGGTTGTGACTTGAATCATGTTTACTTTGCTTATTTTATTCTATGTTGCCCTGATTAACTTTTACGAACAGTCTAGATTTTTTGTAGTTCAATCATGAACTCAATATATAATTATTACTTTTATGAATAATTAATGTGAGCTTTAGAGTTATATTTAGAAATATTCTTAAAAATAAAACAATTTAATCTTTCTTGTGGGATTCAACAAACCCTAGTAGCATTCATCTAGTAGGTAGACTTGTTTCAATTGATTTGAAGAAATTTCACCCAATTTTGACTTCAAATCTTTTTTTACCCCTCATTGACCTGCATCAGATTAAATCTTTTATTATGCTAAAAAAAATTATGTCAATGTTGCTCGGTCAGATAGTTTTTTATTGTTTTAAAAAGTAAATTGAAATCATCCAAACAACAACAAAGCATTCCCTTTACATTGCATTCCTTTTTTAACCAACCAAATAACCCTTGAGGCATTTTTATCATTTAGGCTTTCACCGATAAGAAAAATATCTAAATGACCTTTATGATTGTGGACTCCAAAAATTTGCACCCTGGTCCCTCTGCAGCCCTTTCTTTTTTTATTGGTATCGGTGAGGAGAGTTTTAACGAGTTTAAGTTCTTAGGTAAATTTTCAGAAGATAATTGAGTTTTGAATAAGACATTACCTGAAGATTTCGTTCTCATTTTGAGAGGACTTTATGATCTGAGTTCAGGTTTCCTATAGGCATGAGCCTCTATAGCTAATTACCCCTCTCGGTAACAAGAGAGCACTTTCGATTAAGGCTAGTCGTCGAATAGATACATAGTATCCAGTGTATAGTAGCATCAAAACTTGATATTGAAAATTGAAATTTATATCATCGTTCACTTAAAGCGAATGGTGGGGGAATGATGATGATCCCGATCAAGATTTCATGGTTCCATCGTCCTAGGCCGTTGTAGTTCCTAGTCTACTTAGTTAGAGAAGGTAGTCGGTCCAATCTATCTAAAGGATCCTTATCGGCGTCCATGGGTTGCTTCGTCTAAGGGTACTTTATAGATTTGGGATGATTGTCTGCTTAAGAGGACATATTTGAGTCCACATTGGCTTACAAAAGGCTTTGTGCCCTATCTGTCATATCCTGTTGATTCATTGCTCAATGATTTAGAGTCGTTGGGGAACATATGGGCTCTGACCATGACCGTAACTTAGTGGTACCATTTGGCGGCATAACCACCAGGTCAGAGGGTCCCAGTCAGAACTGCTTACTTGTGGCACAAGTTTCCATTTAAGGGTTTGTAAACGTCTTCTTTTCGCTTATATGAATGTTGCGGATCCGATGACGTGATTTAATAGTGCGTTGTATTTTATTTTTCGTGCATTGGCTGTGTGGTTTAGCTTATTTCATCTTTTGCATATTGTCATTTTTCTTCAGCTTAACCTGTAGGAGCGTGCTTCAGCCTGCAAACAAGCTGTGGGGTGCGTCATGAGTCATCCACCCCTCATTTATAAGTGAATTGATCTATTTGGTGTGACAGCCAAGCGTTAGAAGTTTTCTTGCTTCTGCTTTACCAATGATCCGGATGTTTCATTACAAATTCTCTGTCGTTGCTTGCAGGTGAGTCGTAGCGTTATGCTACGGGTCATTTGCTGCTTTATGCTGGTAGGTTGTCGTGCAATGCAAGTTTTGTTGGCACTTACTCGTGGGCGAATATTATTAGACAATTGGGAGCCGTCAGCAGTTGTATGAAAGTGAACCGTCTTCAGTGTAAATCCTCCAATACTGCTTGCGGGCAGGATTATTGTGTGTATTCCATGTTTACGCTCCCTACATGTGGGCAAGTAGTATTCACCACGAATTTGCTATTTTGATTGTAGGCAAGTTGTTATGCATATAATGAGTCATTTATGGTTTCTTGCAAGTGTTGCTACGAATCACTAGTTGAATGTTACAAGTTACCTTAATTTCATTGCTCATCATTTATGGGAAAGTCATCGTATGCACTAAGAGTTTGTTCACTGCTTGTCCTCTACTTATTCATTGATGTTTATTTGAATGATCAGGATTATTATTTAGCATTTTTATTTACATTGTATTTATCATTTTAAAGTTCAATTCCCTGTTATTTCGTTCAAATTCGATTCCATGTTATTTAGCTTATGTTTAGTTCCTTGTCATTTTGCTTAAGTATTGCTTCTTGTAGTCTGAATTTCGGTAGCCTCACAACATCTCCCCTGTTTAGGGGAATATTTGGGAGTCAAGGTTTGTCCACCATGTCTAGAAAGACGTGTATGGTTGGTGTCGGGTTGGTGTCGGGTGACACCGCAGCTGTGATCTTCTACCTCACCATGCCAAGAAAGACGTGCATGGGCTGCAAGGGTACATGTGCAAAAATTTCTAATTTCTTCTCGCCGGTCTGAAAGCACATACGGGTATTTAACTTTTACCCCGCCACGCTAAGAAAAGCGTGCACAAGGCTCACCTGCCTCGTCGCTAGCATCGTACCGAGCTCCCTCCCACCACGCTAAGAAAAGCGTGCATAGGTGGTCCGCTCATTGCGTCGCAAGCTCCAAAAACAAGATTTGGAGGCTTTTAAGTTTAGAAATCACTATACCTTGCGCGAGAGAGGTGACGGCGACGTCGAGGAAACAAACGAGGGGTCAGAACACACAATCTCTCTCTCTCTCTTAATACTCTTTCTTTTCTTTTTGCTCAATCCTTCTTTCTCTTTTTTTTAACTAATAATAATAGTAATAGAGGGAGGAAGGTGGAGACTTGGGTTCTCTATTTTACAGGAAATGGCAGAGATGTGATTCTGTTTTCTGGTGATTGGAATGTGTAGGAGGCTGTTTGGGTTTGTATTGGGCAGATGGCTGGGAAATTGGGAAATGTATGTAGAGGGAGCAGCTTATGAGGGTAGGAGGAAGTTTTTGTGGGATGATGGGCTGTTTTGGATGTTGTAGTTGTAGGTTGTTGTTTTGGAGAGGTAGTGGGCTGAAGGTGAGAAGTTCTGTGAGTTGCAGGATGTTGGGAGTGCAAGTAGGCAGCAGGTTGTGTGGAGGAGAAAGAGTGAAGGGAGGTATGGGCTGCTGGAGAAGGGAAGTTTGGGCGGATGAGCTGTAAATATATACAAGATAATATGGTATGGGCTTTTACTTGAAGTGGCACAAAAGAAATGTTGTGTGCTTGGCAATAGAAGTGGAGAAGTTGTGAGTGATTGGGCTGTAGTTATTGGACCAAATGTGGGAAGAGGTGTGCATTCAGCTGGAATAAGTGGAGTTTTGATGCTTGAGTTTGGTTGTAGCGGAAAAATCGGTGCAGGATCTGGGAATTTGGGTTTGGAGTTAGAGTTGTGATGGCTACCACTGACGAAGGAGTTTTGTGAGTTGCAAGCTGAGGGAGATTCGTTTGGTGTTGTGGGCCGAGGGAATAGGGAGGAGGAGAGGAATAGGCCTGTTTGTGTGAGAAGATGTAGGTAGATCTCTGGCTTTGAGCGTGAGTGGTTGTAGTGGAGAGGAGAGGTCTGCGGGCTGAAGTCTTCACGGGTTGTTAGAACAGAAGATGTGGGTTGTGGAAGATTCTGAGGCTCTAGATTAGAGAAGAGGAAGGGAGTTTTGGGCTGAGCCATGGAGCTGTGCACATGGGATTGAAAAGAAGATGTTGGGAGCAACTCTTTACTACTGTGTTGCTCTCGGTCTTTGGGAACAATAGGAATCTTCACGGGTTGTTAGAACAGAAGATGTGGGTTGTGGAAGATTCTGAGGCTCTAGATTAGAGAAGAGGAAGGGAGTTTTGGGCTGAGCCATGGAGCTGTGCACATGGGATTGAAAAGAAGATGTTGGGAGCAACTCTTTACTACTGTGTTGCTCTCGGTCTTTGGGAACAATAGGAAGTGGGAGAGATGGGAGGAGCTGTAGTGGGAACTTAAAGTGTTTGGGTAGCGAGCAAAAATGAGAGGGAGTTCGAACAGGGAGTTTGATCATGTGGAAGAAAAAACGCCTCGATGCTTATGCCTTGAGTTTTTTTTATGAGGCTCGCCTTGAGGCCTGCCTCGCCTCACTGGCATGAGGCTTACGCCTCACGCTATATATATTAAAACTTACATAAATCTTAATGCCCGACATTGGACTCTATAGGAGAGGAGGAAGGGGAGAGAACAGTTCATCATAATGATGATTCAAATGAAGAA